GATTTACTATGCTTTTCATTGTGACGTCAGCACCCCCTTGATAACTCAAGGCCTGCTTCACAGGCTCTATAAATGCAATCACAAAACCTTCAGCATTTTAACAGACCGAACTGTACATGGTCCACTTCCATTCCGAACTGACTGTATACTTCAGATCTTTCTTCTCAGTCGTCTGCACGCTACAGTTCCCGGTCAACAACAGTCTGACCCCACGTATTTCTGCTTAAGATATTCTGGGAGGATTTTGACAGATTCCACTGAAAATCTGTTTTCCACGACACAACTGCTAAAGGCCTTTTTCCCTACCAGCCATTTCCCAAAAATTGTCATGAGCTACAAATACAATCCACTGCTTGGGCGCCAGACTGTCAATCATAGAAGACTATTAGATAAGCTAAGCTCAGACGCTCAGGAACTGCGCAAGTGGCTCAGCACGCAGTGCAAATGTGAAGGACCCTCATGCATGTATCCCCAGCCGGACACATTATTACCGGCAATTTGGCAGTCGTCGCTGACAAGCGACTTCGGGATATTATGTAAAAGGGTACTACATTCAGAACAGGTAGAACTAGAACCTTTCAGGATGTGCTTGAAGACTTCAGCATTATCTTAGAAAGTTTCCTGGAGAAGTCTACTCATCAGGAAGGCATTCCCCTTTCCTGCTTTCACAGTTCCAAACAACGGGTTCTCACGTTCCTCCGATGGCGTGGAGCACGACTTGGTTCGGACATGAGACGCAACTACCACAGGGTTACTCAAGCTGTAAGCGCGCCCCATAGGGATTACGTGGTCACAACGACTGACAGGGCCCCCAATAACTACATCATTGTGTGCAAAAAATTTTATGCAATGCTACACTGCACTGAGTTAAGCTTGACGGACAAAGGGGAGGTTCAGAGTAATAAAGTTTATACTCCTGTAACTTCCAAATAACTCCCACTGCACTCATTGATTGCATCTCCAAAATTTATGCCGTTCCTAAGCTGCATAAGGATCTCTATGATTATAGATTTATAGCTGCAGCTAACAA